TTTTCTAATTCCTCAGCCCAGATAAACAAAACCTACCTGTTTTTCTGATGTTAGGCTGTAGGAAATGAACGTCAAAAAAATCAGTGGAAGATCTTAAGGAAAGGGAAGGTCATCTTATTATATACAATCTCTGGGCCAGTTGATTTTATGCCCAGTTTCATACTCACAAGCTGTAGGCATTCACACACTCTGGCCATGATCTTCTGGGTTCCTGTTCGTTGGTGATGAGAAGCTGATTTTGAGATAATGTCTTTTATATCATTGGGAGTGGTCTTTTGCTTTCACTGCTACCTCTTCCTGTTGGGCTGAGAGGAAAAGGGGCAGCAGGAGTGACACGGGGCAATCTTGCTGCCATCTTCCTGTTGTTACAGGATCTTCCACTGACAACTTGTCTCTGTTGTAGTTTTAGCAGGCTTGTCCCAGGCGTGACAGAAACAATCCAATTCTCAATTTGATTAATCAGAAACAGCATCCTCTGCAATCCATACAGGATGTTCAGTGTCAGCCGTTTGCTCTTTCTTCTGCTGCTTTCGCACACACACATGCATGTGTTCGTACGTCATTCATACCAACTGTAGTATTTCTCTCACAAGGCCTAGGAGGTCTTCTGTTTTAAAACATTGTTACTTGTGGGAAAAACATCAGGATTGGCACAATTTCAAGCCCTGCCAAAATTCCTTGGCAAAGATGCCCACATAAAACCCTTTCTTATATAACACATAGATACATGGGAATATTTAAAGTGCTGCTATTAAACTGTCCTAAAGAATGAGGTGGTGTTTGTAACTTTCTTGAGTCATCCAGGCATGTGTTAACCATGCCTGTTCTGCTTCTCTCAGTACCACAGCACATAAAGCAGTGCCTTCAGACCTGCAAAAAAAAAGAAAACCCTCCACCAGCCCCACCAGATGAGATCTAAGCTGTTGCTGGAGGCTGGGGCTCAGGTCAGTGGTGCTTCCAGCTGGATACAGCTGTCCTTGGAGACATCTTCTCTACCACAGTGCTTGTTTTTGTGGAGCCTTTCCTCTGCCAACTGACAAACCAAAGCCCAAGCTCCACCGCTACCTTTTTTCAACATTTTCTTCTATGTCCTAGGACTGATGAGTAGGTCTCGAGTCACTTAAATTTCCCTCTGCCAGACTTCCCCTTTTTGTTTTGAGTAGCAAATGGCTTCCCTCTAAAGCAGGTCAACTCTGTCAGCTCTCCACCAACTAACCTACTACCTGTTTGAAACTGATGTACCTACACCCTTCACACATTTTTGTTTTTATGAGAAAACTGTGTTAGCAAGTCTCCTGTGCTCACCTAACTTCACTGCAGTTGAGGGGATTTCAGAGGGGACTCCAGAGAACTGTGGACTACACTGCCTAGAAAAAATTTATTCAGAAGTACTCTGTGCCATCAAAGCAACAAAAGCAGGGAAATCCCAAGGACATCTTCTTGCCCTTATTTCGTGAAAATAAAGGGGACATTTGGGAGACTTGGGTGATATTTTATATTAGCTCACCCTGTAACTCACTACTGAAGTAGAAAAGACATATTTATGCAAATTCTACTGCTCCTTCAGTGAGTTGAGGAAACTTAGAGAAGAAAGAAGAAAATGACGAAAAGTTCTGGAAAATAAGGGGGCTGCTTCTTTGGAAGAGAGGGAGGAAACTAGAATTGAGGAAGAAAAGGATAGTTCTGAAGGAGCAGATGAAGACCAGAGGTAACCTCAGGGCAGGCAGAAGTAAATGGTAAATACTCCAGGCAGACCAGCAATGGCAGAAAATTCAAAATATTTTTATATTCATTGAAGAACAAGACCCAAAAATCCCTTTCTGCCCTGTTCTGTGCTCTCATGTCAACTGTTTCTTTTTACAAGGACCTGGCTCGGCTCAGCTCAGCTATCTCTGCTGAGTGTTGCAAAGTTCTTTACACATCCCCTTCTCTGGATCTGATGATGGCCCAGTCAACATCGACTCTCTGGCATGACAAAGCTTTTGAAGTTAGAGAGAGAGAGAGAGAGAGAGAGTAAGTAGAGACCTCTTGTCCTAAAATCCAGAGAGTTTTTTGTTCCTCTTCTTTTGTTTCTTCACTTGCAATACGCTCTGTGTGCTGGTGGAAGAGGCAATCTGAAATCCCTTCTGTCACAAATGAAGTCTATTCTTTAGTGTTTCCTTTGCCTTCTGGGTGGACGTACTCTGCTGATAATATATTTCTTGGTTCTTCCCTTGATATCTGAACTGATGACCTCTTTTAAGCAGAACCATTTGAGCCAGTAACCATTGACACTTGTACAAGTTTAAGGAAGAGAACATGATACAGCTGTTGCGAGTTGCTGTTACTTAGCAGGGAAAGAAAATAAAGTGTTAGAGGACAACAGGAGTCAGTGACACACATTCCAGTAAAACCAAATCCACTAAGTTTTATAGGGCATGTCACCTGCTGGAGGCTTACATCAGGACTGTTAAGGCTCTGCTGATTTAACTCCCTTCTGACTCTGCTCATATAAATTCGCAGAGCCCCTTAATCGTTAAATTCAAGGATTGCTTCCTCGAGTCATGAATGCTCGAACAGGTCTAGTAAGAGGTCCAACTTGGTCCAGAGGATCTGCCACCAGCTGTCATTTTGCTAGTGATACAACAACGTGACTGTGGACAAACCACATATTTTGTCTCCCTCAAATTTGCTTCTAGAACCCAAGCAAACATTAAATGGTTTACAGTTTAATATTCTAGCCAATTTTCCCAGCACAAACTGCTGCAAAAAAAAGAAGAGAAAGGTAACCATGTGACGGGGGATAAAACCACAGAAAAGTTCTGGGCTCCCTTTACATGGCAAGAAAGTGCTGGATATGTTCTACATTTTGCTTTGCTTCCCACCTTTAGAAATGGAAGACACTTGAATTTAAACTTTGCTGTAAAAGAAGGTTTGGCATTAGATGGACTTAACAGGAGTGGGAGTTGTCAGGTGTCATGCAGCTGTGCGCCTTTGGTACATCTAAGATATCCATGGCTAAGCTTCTCGTCCCTTCTCGTGTTTCCCAGTCAAACCTGTTGATCTTTTTGTGTTGATGGCTGTTTGTGTGTCTCTCACTGATCTTCATTTATGTGCCTTTTCTCTGCGTGAGGGCTGAGCGTCCTGGCAGCCAGGACCCTCTCAGAAGTGTGCTGCATATTACACAAACTAGCAAATATACTTGCGTTCCAAGCAGTGCAAATCATAGTTTCCTAGGGATGAGTAACTGGGAGAAAATCGGGTTGATAATCAGGAAAGAAGGGTGTTTCATAAAAGAAAGATGAGACAGTCATTACACATTTTAATTTGCATTTCTGGCAGAAATGGCTCCCCATAGAGCCTACTTCTGCTCTCGGAACAGGCACACTAAAAAGGATGCAAGCTCAGGCATGTTATCCAGGTCGTGTTAGTGAGGCTGGCTTTGGGACAGCTTTGGTCTTAGCATTTCATTTTGCTTTGCTTCTAAAACTGGTAATGTTTTTCCTTCTGAAAGGAAGCAATACAATTACTAGGACTGAAAGAAATAACTCCATTTCATCAGGAAGAATCAAAGAGCCCTTCCAAACTCCTTTCTGAAGAGTAGTGAAAAACAGATCATCTGCCCTGTAGAAATACAGTACTGGACTGTTTTAAAAAAGCTCTCAAGTGAGACATTCTGGAAAAATAGAGACTGTTTCTGCCTATTTGTATTCTTGATGTGCATTTCATCATATTTTCATTTTTCCTTCTCAATCACCAAAGCTAACTTTTTCCTCTTAGAAAAACTATTCTTTTGCACTCAAGATAAATCATGTACTCGCTGCCAGAAGTATGGAGGCGAGGCCATTCCTCTCCCCCTCCTTCGTCAGGCTCTGAACCATTCAGCTGGAGTACTGCTGCTCGCTGTCTCACAGCACTGAGCCTGCACATTTCTCTTTGCAATTTCCATTTCCTGGGGAAAAATTTATGTTTGAAAAGCATTAGTTAAACTCACTCGCCTCTTCTTTTGTTGTTGCATTCATACACATATATTGATGGCTTCCAGTCAAAGCCACAGTTGAAGATCACATGTGTCCATGATCATCATGGAAAAAAAAAAACACAGATAATTTCTCTGGAAAAAAAAAAAAAAGAGCATTTAATTTCAGAAAACTCTCATTCAAGGAATGCCAGGTTGAAGCCTCCCATTGTAATCTACATGCATGTCGCATGACAAACTTCAAGGCAAGCTGAATCAGCACAGGATTTTCAGAATGCAGGGAACAGTTGTCCTTTAAATGCTGAGCAACTCTTGGTTAAAACATCACTCGAGATTGACTTCTAAAGGTCCCTTGGTCAAGAAGCCCAAGGCTGTTTTCTAAAGGTCTGTTGACCAAGAATCCCAGCTGCAGAAAATCCTGCTCTCTCAGGAGGAAACCCTGGGCAGAACTTGTCAGAGGGATTTTAGCAGCCCAGATGCCTTTCCAGGTGCTACCAAATGCCTGCCATTCCCACTCCTCCCCTAGCACAACTTCTTTATCCATCGCAGGCTAGCCTGGCAGCTTGGAGAACAGACTTGGGAATATTTCCATGTTTCCTTCCCTGGTCCTCTGCAAGAGGTCTTTCTCCAGGACAGTAAGGCAGGACTAAAACCAAGTGCCCAGCTCCTTCTATCGGTCCCTTTTAATACCTTCTTTTCCAGCGACCACAGTCAGTTTCCACCACAGGACAGCCCTCACAAAGTCATTTTGTCGTGTGGTTCCTGAATGTCTTTGGATACAGTGGCTGTAATTTGTTGATACCTGAGATAGGGTTGCTGGATGCCAGAAGACTATTTGAAAGTCCCAAGAATAAAAACCAGCACTTGTGAGTTACTGTTTTAATGGAAGCCTCACTGGCGGCGTTTTCCCGTTCATTCATGGCCTCCACCACTAGAGGGTACTTTGATGTTACAAAAGAAAGTGCTCTGCGCTGAGGCTGCCCGTGACACGAGCTGTCAGAAGAACCTTTGCAAGTACATTGCAAGGACACTCGTAACTCACCTTGGGTAACGATACAGAGAGCTCGACGGGAAGCTCTGCAGCTCGAGCCCGTAAAACAACTTTTTTCGAAATAACGACCTTGGTAGAGTTCCGTGTGTCTTGCTGCATCCGCAGCACAGATCCTCCCACCTGATTACTTGCAAAATGTCAAAGAGCGTCCTGAGACATGGCACGTCCTCACCTGCTTGTCTGGCTTGATCCTTGCTGGTGCTCACGCCAGGTGCTGCACCAGGGATGCACAGGCTCTGACCCTGGTCCATGCTGGTGGCTGGCACTTGATTTCTCTCACTCGGGTCTCCCCAGTCGCTGGCACCCGGGCACAGGTGCCCACTGGCCCATGGTCCTGGCCCACCTGCTGGCACCAGGCCCCCATACACACGTGCACACCAGCTAGGGAGTCCTTGACCCAGGAAAAGAGTTAGAAATTGACTTTAATGAGAAGACAAGACAGACTGTGGTGACCAGGCACTTGCATATGTCCAGACGAGTATACTGACCAGCCTCCTGCGTACACATGACCAGACCCTTTTATCTGTTTATCCCTCCATTTTCCCAGGCTTTTTCATCCCCAGATCCCCTTGATTCCTCCCCTTCTCACCTTTGGTTCCCATAATAAGTCCCATGCAACACCAAAATGCTCTTCCCTTGCATCCCATCATGTGTCCATACCCCTTTAGGCAGTGACTCCCCTCAGTTCAAATGGTGCTCAACTGATGACTCATCTGGATGGGTATCACACTGAGACCCTGGGGCTGAGAATCTCCTGGTGCTGAGAATCTCCTGGGACATCCCTGGGAGGAGCCTGGGTAAGGTGCTCCTTCCTCCAAGTCCTTAGTTTTTGCTCCCCATCTGCCCTTGGGCCCCTGGGCTCCTCTGGCTTGTGTAGGTGGGCCTTTAGTGGGCTGATGTCTCCTGTTGCTGTGCTGGGAAGCCACCGTGATGGGGTGTTGTTTGGCTTCCCTCACCTGCCATTGCTTCTATGTCCTCCTTCAAGGCTCTGCAGCCAAGCTCCTTGACACATAATCCAACAGGTTCCCTCTCAAACATGCTGTGGACTTTTCTGTTTGGGTTTTCTGCTTCCTCTGAGAACAAGCGCTTGCAGGATCTTTTCTCTCTCAGGTTTATCTTCAGACCTGGTAGCCTTTTGTGAAGTGAGGTGCCTGGTGTTTGCACCTGCAAAAGACCCAGCACAGTGGTGTGGTAACCACGACAAAGCTCTATGTTCTCTGGCAGAGAGAAGTGATGAGAAGACAAGAGGTCTGCCGTTCACAGCACAGGACTAGCAAGAGCTTGCAAGGAAAATGAGGAACCTGTGGGATGTCAGAGGAAAGTGGCTAGTGGGGGTGACTCCCAGCTATGGTCACTTACTGGCTTTGTCTGTGGATGCCACCAGCCCTCCAGAGCACCTTCATGCCTGCATGACCAGCAGGGCAGGACAGACTTTTCTGGGAAAACTTCTACACGAGGCTGCTGGTTACAGTGTCTGAGCTCTGCAGTGCTATCTCACCTTTGTCCAGAAGAGACATCCCATCTGCCCTCCTGGACATTTCCAGTACCTCTTCCATGCCTTTCCACCTAATCATTGGCTAACTTATCTCCCTCATGCTCCAGGCCTTCCCTAGCATTGTTAGAGGTTAGATGAGACACATGTGGTGTCATCTACCCAGTGTGGCTGCCCCATGTAGCAAAGACACAGCAGCAGAAGCAGATCTCAGCTCTCAATGGAAGGGTTTTGTCACATTCCTGGTAAGTGTTGCCAAGGCTTTTGAAGGATGTGAATCATTGCCAGGAGCCTTGGGCATTTGCATTACCTCGTTTTGATAAGCAACGTGCTGGTCCTTTGGCGTGTGCAGGCTCACGGCGTTCTCACTTAGGCCTTGATGTAAGCCTTTCTCCTCGGCAGGTGTTCTGGGTGCACTACATCTCTTCAGTCTGAAAAAGAACCATTAACTAGTCACATGATGCTTAGAAACCTCCTGGCATTTAGAGTGAATCTTGCTATTTTAAAGATGCTGTTACCACCTGGATAAGTTTCCAGGGCAGGTATATAAAAACATCACCAGGAATCAGAAAGGCAAGTTTCAAGGTGAACACAGGCACGCCGTGTTATTTGCAAGAAAATGGAAATGATTCTTACTTTTTACTTTTTCCATTGATTAATCTCACAATGCAACGTATCAAGACTGTTAAGAACACCATGAACACCACAGCTAATATGACTGCTAAGATGACTGTGCTCTTCTGAACACCTACAAAAAAGAAACCAGTAAGTTCACACAGAACATAGAGAGATGTCAACATGTTTCTCATGTCCTCTTCCAGAGGTTGGGACTGAAGTGAAACATTCATCAGTTTGTACTGGTTTGTTCTTTGAAGAAGGGAAAGGAACAGCATAACAATGTAACACTGTGGAAGGTGAGAAATTATTTTTAAAATAAATACCAATAATGTCTTACATTTCCCTGGTATTGAGGGAACCAAACCCCAGCATTTTTACTCCTGATCTATTTGTGTTTCTCTTTCTGTATGAAGAAGTTTTATGATAAGGAAAGACTCCCATCCTTCCTGAGACATACCCTCCTGCAAGATCTTCGATGTGAAATGTTCCCCAGCATTAGACAGCCAGGAACCTGCTTTGCTGGTATCCTCTAGCTGTGAATACTGCTGGAGAGCTGATTGCATCTGCTCTAAATCAGTCATTGTGTAGAAATATAAACATACAGAGACATACATATGTACACACAAATCTACATGTTTAGTAGATATATATGTGCACACACTCACCACATAGACACAAAGGTACAATATCTTCTGGATGACTTCAAATCATGAAATCTTCATCCAGCGTGACATCTGAACTCCTAGAAAAACTCCTAGTGACACCTATAAAAGTGCAAGCTGCACTCTCACAATTGCCCATCCTTTCCTAAGCACTCCCCACTACATGCTGCACCTATCCATCCAAACACAGCCTACCTTCCCTTCCTTTTTCCAGGTAAACTGCCTTTATTTTCTTTCTCTGTGGGTGGTCAAGGAGGCAGGTCAAGACATGGAGGTGATTGGCGGAGAAGGTAAGTCTATTTGCCACCGTTACTGTTCCGTTTGCATTTTTGATGTGGTGTATTTCAGAGGACTTATCCAGGTCTCTGTCATCCAGCCAGGTGATTTTGGGGGCAGGCTTTCCTGTTGCTGAGCAGACTGCAGTGTGGAGAGCCTTGGTGGGCAGGTGGGAATCATATTCCACAGTTAGCTCAGAAATTGCTGCGAGTGAAATGAGAAGGTACTTTTCACATTCTGTGGCGAGTTCACGGTCAAAGCTGGACAGGTCACCTCCCTGTATGGGGCTTTTTATCTGAAAACATCTCCTGGTTTATTTACCTTCACCTCCTCTGAGGAAAGGTATGGCAATTCTGGAGACTATCCACCAAGGAGATGCTGGTGCATGGAAAGTCTCCATGCAGTAGAGGGCATAATACCTCACCCACTTCCTGACTACATCAGACCTGTGCTGAGTCCCAGAAAGTGAGAAGCTGTTAGTGGAAAACTTACTTTGGATGTTGAGGCATATATCTTTGCTGAAAGAGCCATGAGGAAATACGTTGAAAATGCATCTGTAATAGGACTCATCCTCGAGTGTGAGATTTTGGAGTGCGATGGCTGAGGCTGTCAAGGTTGCTCTAGTGAAACGCGCCTTCTTCTGAAATGGCTCTATCAGCCGCAGCCCGTGGTTTGGGCTGTAGGTGGCTATGTTCTGGAAGGAAGACCCATTTCTCTTCTGCCAGGTGACTTGCAAAACATCCATCGAGAGTGAGAAGTTGCAATAGAAATTTACCTCTCCACCAAGGGCTGCCACAATAACACTATCAGATTTCACAGCTTCCGCCAAACCTAGGAACAAAGCAAACCCCAAAATCAAAGCAAGAGGAAAAGCAATTCACTCGGGGAAGGCTACAGTGCCTTGAAGCATCCAGTCACAGTGTTCCCATCTTGCAGAGCACTGGAGCAACAAACTCCACTGTGAGGCTGTGTAGCACACTGGGAGACCTCAGACACCTTGATCTCATGGGTGGCCGTTGCATTGTTAGCCTGTGCCGTACATTCCTCATGGTGAGGAGGAAGGCAGCATGGGACCATAGGCAGGGAGGCTCCTTAGCAAGCACAGCAAACTCGACACCTGGGCTTGTCTGCCAGCTTCTTCCCAGAGCGTTACTGTTAGCTCGCCTTTGTCCCCGGGAGCTGAGGGGTGTCCTCTACAGACCTGACACAGCAGCCGCCAGTGAAAGCAGCCCTCGCTCCGAGAGCATCCCCGCTCCCCTCCTGCTGGCATGTTGAGGGGTGCGAGGGGCGGCAGGGCAGCCCAGGGCACCCCGCAGCTGGGAGGCCGTGCAAATGGCTGCAGAGGGAGGTACCCCTGCCCCAGCCTCTCCCAACAGACATGTACACTGGAAACACGAATTCGCTCCATCCCTTGTGCTGAGGAGCTTAGCGACACTTACAAAGAAAGGGAATATGCGAGCTGAGTATACAGTTTGGGTGCAAAGACAGACCACCCTGTGCCCTCTCTGACCGCACATCCTGGTTTTGCTGCTGACCAGCCCCCAGGCTACTAGCTGCTGTTCCAGTTACCAATTAGTATTTTTCAGTCAGGATGGCATCTGGGTCTCTCTGCCGGGCGGGAAAGGTGGGTTCTGCACCAGGGTTCACCTCATGTA